TTCCTTTTTTAGGCCTGGGAAAGTAGCTAGCAAGTATTGTCTTCTTCAGAAGGGTTGAAGGTTGCAGTATGTATCAATATTAATTCAGGTTCAGAAATGGAGCCAGTGAAAAAAGAGTTCATAAGCAGGAAAAAAATGTGAAGAATCGGACGTTACACGTGACTTCCAACTTTCCTCTGACTCCTACCAGAATTAATGCTGTGAGGGGTGCATCAGCAATTTTGAAACTGAGACTGAAAGCTTGTAATCATGAGAGCTTCACAGGAAAAAAAAAGAAAAAAGAAAAGAAAAAAAAAAAAAGTATGTTGGAGTTTATAATTGACCACAGAACTATTAGCTGTTTATAATTTTTAATTGCACTCTTAGAGAAAATTTTGCCAAACTTTTCACTGCCTTGTTATATTTTGTGTCAGTTAACAGCATTTTTTGCCATTTATTACTCAACAAAACAGGGACTTTAGTAAATTACTTCTGTATTTATCAGTTGCATTTATACTAAATGCACATATTGTTGTGCAGGAAGAGTGGTAGTGTAGTACTGCTACCTGATTGATCACTATATTGTAACTTACCTTTTGTTTGCTGCTTTTCAGGTTGAAATAGCAGCTTTGAAGGTGTAATCCTCATTTATTCTTTAACTGCACTTGTTAGGCTTATAATAAATCTGACAGTTTAACAGGCCCTGTTTGGAAGATGGCCTGCCCTGATAAGAGATAAAATGCACATTATCTTCTTCTGCATTGACTCTGGATGATTAACTGGATTCACTAATGCTGAGGATCAGTGCTGGAAGGTTTACTCCAAGTGCCATGTTCCTTTATGGCATTTGAGGCATGGAGAAGATGATAGAAATTCATGCAGTGTCTTTGTGCTAGATTTTTTTCTGTCTCCTCTTTCATGGGTCCTGTACTTGTCTTTTTCTTCCATGTGCTTTATTTCTGGGTTAACACTGTTTTATTTTTTTTTCCCTTTGAAAGATGAATGTCTTGCAAAAGTATGTTTACTGTTGCTTAATAATAAGGTGAAGTCTCTCTGTGTGCTTTAACTTAAAGCAGTTACTGGTGGAGGATGTGAAGGAGGATGTGCTGTCACAATGAGAGCAGAAACTATTGTTTTGTTGCTGATAACAAGAAAAAAAATTTGAAACCTCTTTCAGGCCCTGTTGTTTCAGTCTCCTAACATCTGGTAGAAACTGGTCGGGTGTTAATGATTACGATTACTTACGAAAGTAAGTTCAAGAGTTTATTAATTTAATTTTTCAGAGTTTGTGATTTACATTTAACAGTTGGAAAAAAATGACCAAGTGTTTGTCTGCACATATTTTGGATGCTTAGACTTATGATAGCGAAATGGAGAGAACAGGAAAGCACATCTCTGATCATAAATACAAATAATGTATTTACTTACGTGAGAGTCGTGTTGGTACAGATTATCTGTTGAAGCCTAAAATTAATTCTTAAGGTATTTTTAGTAATAATAATTCCACTTCTCTAATTATCTCTCCTTCCTTGTATGAAAATGTTGCAGTGAGTGTGTTTACCTTTCCATTGCTCCATTACTCCTCAGTGATGCTCAGTGGAATTGAAGCTTGAGGAGCGTCTGAGTCAACATTAGAAGTTCAGTTATTAGTTATTGTTGTGGGTTTTTGCAGGACAAATGAAAAATATAACCTAAACATACATATTGAGAAGAAAAATCTGCTACCACCGCTGAAAGCAAAATGTTAATCCCACAGTGGGATATGAAGTTTGTATTTTAGAGTGCAGTACAGCTCCCAAACAACTTACAAAATAAAAACAGTGTGTGTTCTTTCATGACAGTTCATTCTGCAAAACAGCATTCAAATTTGGCTTTGGAAGACATTTTCTTTCAAATAAAAGTTAGTTTGGTTCAGCATCTGACTTATCATGATACTGTTTCTTTCATTAATATGTCTCCGTCTCTTTCCTCAATGCAGTGACTATTGCTGGTTTTGTTTTTAGTGATTCCAAATTTGGTTAAGCCTTTTCCTATTCTATACCATTCTAAACAAACCTTACCCACTCTTCCTTGATTTTTGTCTCAGAAGACATGGTAGGATTGAGACTACGTTTCCATTTCATCTAAAGCACTAAATAAACTGAACTGTTCATTTTCTTTCTCTTCTTTATAGAAATTACTGCAGAGATGCATAAAAAGATGAGTAGGATGAATGCTGCTTTCTAATCTAAGGTAGTTCCCTGTTGGGTAGGTTTATTGGAGTAAAACTTTGAGCCTCTGACTTACCGTTCTACTCACTGTGGCTTCAGTTTTGAATTGTCATGTTTCTGGGAAAAATTAAGACTTCAATTTTGGGAGTTCTGTTTTCTGGTCTGAGAAGTTATCCATGTGGTTCAGGAGCTGAAGAATACTTAGAAAAACTTTGGAAGTTCCTAAATGATCTTGTTTAACATTACAAATTTATTTAATATTACAAATTTTTGTGTTTTGTAAAACTATTAGTAATAATGAATAACTAACAAATTTTGAGATGAGTAAATTGATTTCTGGAGGGAGTTAAGGCTGAACTAAAAAAAACAGTATAGGCAATTAAGCTGCTCCTGACCCAAAAGTGTTTGTTTATCTAAAATTCATCTATCATTTCAGTTTAAATTTATGAGGTTTTTCACTTTAAAGTTTCCTAGGTGACAAGCTTTTTTGTACTACATGTGCCCAGAAGTACCTTCTTCTGAAAGCTGTGGTTTTAGTTCCTTGCTTACGCAGCATTAAACTTGTAGAGGTACTTAGACTAGAGATCATCTAATAGTGTGCATAGATCTTGAGTGTGACTTAGCTCATGGAAAAAAAATATGGAATAGCTGCTTTCCAAAAGATGTGAGGAAACTGGGAGGGTGCTCACCTCTTTGAGTTTACTTGACATGTGAGAGTCATTGCTGAGAAATGGGGAATATGGGAGATACCTTGTGTCTCAAGACAGTGATTGAACTAAATACTGGTGAGTTTAGTATGGGCAACACACCTGAAGATTAGTATTGCGCTGCAAGAGGTAATTAACCTTGCCCTCTTTGTGTCATAGAATGTCCAGTTTTGGCAAGCAGATAGCCTACCACCTAGAGGGCTGTTCTGCATGATGAAAGGTTGACTTTGATGTAGCACTGTGAATGCCCTAACTGGGGTCACTGGGAGTTCCCCAGCAAGGACAAAATGATGGAGTTTGTGATGCTACGTCTTCCCTTTGAGAGGTCAGCTTTGCTCTACTGCAGAACCAGAGCTTTCTTGCTCTTCTTGAAGTGGCTTGTTCTCAAAATGTTGGCAATATATGGGTACATGCAGATACACATATACATGCATAGACATAATTGATAAAAAGATAATCCAGGTATTTTTCAAATAAGATCTTATACCATGCATGTCAAAGACAAGCTGGGAGCAGTGTATTCCAGGGATGAGCATATTTTTCATGACACTTTGACCAGTATCTTAAAAAAAGACATTATGCCACTTTCTCCTCAAACTGGTTAAAAAGAAAATACTTCTTTGTAAAAGGAATTTTTTTCCTGGTGTTTTGTTGATTTTTGGTTTTGGTGTTTTTTATTAGGCAAAATATTAGATTGTGGTCAGTTCTGCCTGAGACAGTTCTGAGTCTTTGTGACAGTTGGTTTGCTCAAATTTCAATAAGTAGCCTTCCTTGTCATCCCTGCAGGACTGTTTAGATCTCTGTCTCTGCGCTGCTTCTGCCCAAATATTCTCAGTTTCTCAGCCAGTTCGCTGGGAAAACTAAGACTTCCAGTGTGAACATCCTCTTACCAACACAGGCTCTGGCTGCTAAATTTTGCACAGTATCAAAATTAAAAGAAGAAGGAGACCACAGTTTTAACCCACAGTGTTGAGTTCAGTGCATGGCTGACTGGGCCAGCAGAGGAAAGGGAACTGGTGGGGCAGAAATGAAGGGATTGAAGGAGGTTGTGGACCCCCTTGTTTTGATCCCTGATTTCGATTTTATGGTGATGTGAATTGATGGTGGGATTATGGACTCCAGCTCTTATTTTAGCATGGTATGAATAACCTCCTGGAGACCCCTCCTTCACGGCCCTCGTGTTTATTTATCTGCTAATCTCAAGCAATACAGGAGCTCTCTGAAATGTCTGGCAATGTCTCCCTGCCAGCATCCTTACTGAACTGGCAGCAAGTAGGCAGATGGTGAGCTAAGACTGTCCTGAATTGCATGAGCTTTTTGACCATTTACATTATCTCCTTATGCCCTTTGTAACTGTTTTCTGCCTCTGAAGTATCTGTATTTATTGAAAGGTAAGTAATATGGGCAGGCAATTTTTGTGTGCTCCTGTGGTACATAGGACAGCCCATGGCCAGGAGCAGGGAAGGATTTCGAGCTGTTTACTGCACAAATCAAAATAAGCTTGTGTTGTTTTAGCACAGGATACCTTGAGAAGTTATTTTCCTTATTAAGTAGATGATGCGTACAGAATATCAGTTCCTCTGTGGTCTCTACTGTTGACAGATGTTCTATTTCTCTGACACTGTACATGTACTTGTGAAAGCATTATCTTCTGATTTTTAGCAAAAGCTGCATGTGCTACTTTTTTGTGTAGCTGAGATACACTTTCATTTTGTGTATTTGGATTCTGTTGTGTGGCACTGTGGCTTTCCCTTTGTCTTTCCTCATTCAACCTTGCAAAATAGCCATGAAAATTCAGCAGCCCAAGCATGAAAGGTACTTACCTGTTTTTACATACGGGTAACAATCGTAGAGATGATAACGCTTTGCTTGCCCACCACAAATTTTCTTCTGAAGCAGTGTTGTATAGCATTTTGTGGGGTCATAAACACAGTATTTTTATTGGTACCTTTCAAACAAACTGTTTCAGAAGGTAGATTTGCGAAGGAAAAACTGAGTTGAGCATGAAACAAGAAACTTAAACATATTAACAAAGAACTCAAGACTTTTCCACCATAACCCTTTCTTGCACTTTCTTCCTTTTAGTTGCTGATATGTGTTCAAGATGAGTGGGATGGGAGAAAATACCTCTGACCCATCCAGGGCAGAGTCAAGAAAACGCAAGGATCCTGATCAGCTTGGACCCAGGTTAGACCAGTTATGCCTGAAAACATTGAAAGTGAAAGTTTTTTTTAAAACTTACATATGCATATAATTTTCAGTTGGAAAATTACCCCATTGTTGCAAAGAGAAGTCAGTACCAAACTACTCTTGATTCAGTAATTCTGTGTTGGTTTGGGTTTGGGATAGGGGTGGGGGCTATTGTCTTTAACTACTATTTGCTTGTTTGGTTTGAATCCAGTGTTGTGCCAAACACGGAATTTTGGTGGCAGTATAGGAGCTATATAAAAATCTTTTTGGCTAATCACTGCAAGGGGTCTTCAGTCCCTCATCTAGCAATCTAAGATTTTGCCAACTCTCCTGAGTGTCATAAGCAGGGACCTGAAAAATATTCTTCAGTTTTATAGCATTTGCATTACCAACACAATTTTTACCAGTCAATTAGCATTTTTTCTTGCAATTGTTTGTCATAATTTTACAAGGAGTATGGATTGTTTGGCTTAAACTTTTAAGCTTTTTTTTTCTCATACATGGGTCACTATGTGATACTTGTTGGACTCTCAGTCCCCTGTGGAGTGATACTTGCAAGTGTTCAAATTCCACCCCCTGAATTTTAATCCTCTCTTGAATTTCAAATTCCAAACTTCTTTTGAAAAGGGGTTGGTGAAAAATATTTTTAATGGTCCTTTCCTTGTCCCAGAGGAAACCTTTCTGCTTGAGAAACTTGCACAGTTTTGTGTGTGTGAGAGAGGGCAGTTCTCTCTGTTTTTGTGCAACTATTCTCAAGCCATCTTTGAGCTAGCCAGAAAGCAAGCAATCAGTCATTAAATACAACACTTTTATGAACTCCTCTTTCAGCCCTAAAAGAAGTACTGAGAAACGCAATCGTGAGCAAGAGAATAAATACATTGAAGAACTTGCAGAGCTGATTTTTGCAAATTTTAATGATATTGACAACTTTAACTTTAAACCTGACAAATGTGCAATCTTGAAAGAAACTGTGAAGCAAATTCGTCAGATAAAAGAACAAGGTAAGGAGACTGATTAATTAACTTTGAATGCTTTCTGTGTTGATTGTTACTTTATTTTTGGCAAACTCAATAGTCTCTTCATCTTTTCTGTAGCAAATTCCCAGGTTTTTCATTAATCAGTAATGAAAAATGCTGTAATGTCATGTTAACAGTGTGCTAAGTATCATATTCAGTATTTTAAAAAGGAGCTTGATGTAAAATTCATAAATGTCCAAGAGAGAGAAGATTGGTGAGTCCAGTGTGTGCATCTAATGAAATTGATATCAGTTTTGCTTTTATAAAAGTTAAACTAGGAGATGGCTTTAGGGAAAAAATAAAAAGACTACTTATATACTCTTATGTAGATGATGAATCCATGTAAAATAGGAATAATCCAGGAGAGTGGGGTATTAAAGTATTCTGCATCCCCCCCCGCTTTAGGGAAAAAATAAAAAGACTACTTATATACTCGTATGTAGATGATGAATCCATGTAAAATAGGAATAATCCAGGAGAGTGGGGTATTAAAGTATTCTGCATCCCCCCCCGCCCTGCCTTTTTTTTTTTTTTTTTTTTTTTTGTATGAATAGATATTGTGGACTAAATTATCTGTGTCCCTTAAATGATGACATCATATCCTCAACTACAATAGATTTGAAACTATTTTAATCTCTAGATAGGGTCCTGTTATAAATGTAAACCAGAGAACATGATAGTTTTCTTCCTGTTCTTTGTCTAGAAGATTGGTTCTTTATTTCTTTTCTTTTGATATATTTCCTATCTAAAGAAAAAAAATCTTTCAGAAACTGAAAATCTTTGGAGGTGGTTTTTGTGGCACAGGTCTGTCTTCTCTGGGCAGGTGTGAATGGAACTGCAGGTGTTTGGGTCAGATTCAGATTGTTAAAGTAGGTGCATATAATTTTTCTCCTAATTTAGAAGATTGCAGTCTCTTTATAAAACGTGTTTAGAGCAATTCCTTTGGTTTTCAAACACTCTAATGTCTTTCACTTGTTCAGTATTCTGATTTCTGTGGAAAAATTAAGCTTTCTTTTCCATACTTTATATGTGAAGTTAAAGAAGTGGAGATCAAGTGTTGCATAATTTAGAATCAGATTTCCTTTTAAAACAAGTAGGTGAGTAGACCTGTAGTTTCAGGCATCAGTTTATTCCAAGGTTAAATGGAAAGTGGAAAGTGTCCTATTATGTATTAGATGCCTCTGAAGTGGTTTTAATAGATTATTTTTTGTGTATGTTCCTATTTCTCACCTTGTTCTCTTCTTATTGCTACTCACTTGCCATAATTTTTTTAAATGGATACTCTAGTGAAGTTGCTGAGTAACATATTAGAAATATACCTCTTTACCTAGCATAGTGTCCATCATCATTTTGCACTTTGCTGACTTTTGAGACTTTTTTTTCCTTTTTTTCTTTTTCTCACTCTTAGTTTCAGATTTTTGTTTTGCTGTCACAAAGAGACACATTCTCTTTATGCTTTCCTGTAAAGGGATAAGGACAAAAGGTTGTGTTTTCCTGGGAAGTGCATGCATAGAGAAAAATCTGCTTGTCCACTTCGTGACTGTCTCAGCAATTGTAGGACATCTCGTCTGAAAAGTTAGCTCTTGTTAATGGCAACTTTGGCAAATTCAGGGTTTTGTTGTTCAGGGCCAGTATCATAAAACCAGTTTTTATATAGTAAAGTGTTCACGTTCATCAGACCAGGTTTCATGTAAATTATTTAAATCATCATGGGCTGGAATTGTACCAGAGCCGAATGTGCACTTCATTTTCTAAGCTCATAAAGTTTTATTGCAAAACCAACTGAAAATACAATTATAAAGACAGACTAAAATGCTGTGCATGCTTTTTATTTCAACTAGTAGTAGTTTGCAACCCTGGAGCAGTAAAGATACTAAATTACTCTTTATGAAGTTCATTTGTTCCATGAGGTTCTTCAGCAGAGAACAATTAGACTGTCTGATAACTGGTTAGGTCTGTGCCTAAAACTCATAGCTGGTATAGGCCGGACTTTAAGCCTCTCTGTGGGGCATTGCCAAGGACTGAGACCTTCAAGGGGGTCATTAGTAGCATCTCAGGATGTAGAAACGAAGATTAGAATAATTGAAATCAATCCTTTAAACTCGTAAGTTTGATATAAATTCCTATATAGAAGCTACATCTTTGTTGTTGTGGCAAATTTAAAAGGCTTTTCCTTTAAGAAGAAAATCAGATGACAGCATATTCTGAAATGCAATGTTATTTTAAAACAGGCATTTCATTAACAAATCTCACTCACACATAGTAAACATTTAAACTACAGGAAGAGTACAGTACCACCTGTACTTCTGTTGAGTACCACAAAAAAACCTGTTTGCTAAATGAACTACTTGAAATTACTGATTCTACACTAACACAGAGAAACTAAGATGGTTCAGTTTTTGTGCAGTAGGTCTTCTCTGCATTTCTTCAAAGATAGATTAGCTTAAATTAGTGAAAACTTTTTTTACAGTTTTATTTATAGAAGTTTCAGTAAAGCAGCTGGGTATCTGAAATAAATTCTAAAAATTCTTCACAAATTTTCCTCTTTGTCTATGAATAGAATTGCACATTAAGGTCTAATTGCTTACAAAGGCACCGTCAGTTATAAATACCTTGTAAAGCTACTGAAAGCAACAAGTTTTATAGCTGCTACTGAGATTTAACAAGGAGACTTCATTCTATATTTTAGGAATGAAAACGTGGAAGGAAGAAATACAGATAGATGTTTAATTTCCCATGTCAAGCTTGCTGGTCTGGTAGTTGAAAAATGTAATAGATATTTTGCTGTAGTAATGCTGTATAGTTTAGCATAATGTCATCCTGATCTATTTTGTAGGCAAGTATATATTTGCAATACTATATCTGTTATATTTATATCATTTCTCACAGTATATACTTCAAAGATTCTTTAGTTGTGGTATGTTAGAGATTCGGTTTATTACCATTTGAAACCAAGTTGTAAATATATGCATGTAACTGAATTCTTTAGAAGAATTAAAGGTATTTGGAGGATGTAACCATGGCATGTTTTAATCTGGGTTTTGAAATTGTTTTAGCATTTGGTAAAATGAAGACAAGTTTCTTTACAGAGGTTTAATTTTCTACTGAGGACTTCTGCCATCTTACCTTACAGTGATCTTACAGAGATTTGTGGATATCTGGAGGAGATGAAAAAACGTGAATTTAGCAGTTAGATGAAATAGAAGTTGTATTAATGTAAATCTTAAGTGGGTATTTCTTGAGACTTGTGTTTCTTTAAGCACTTGGGAAAAAATATAATTTGGGGGTTTTTGTAACGTGAAAATTATTAGAAATGGTGGTCTTATGGTTATGTTACGTGGTCATGAAAGTGTAAGCTCTCCTGTTATTTGCAGTCTACATTAAGTTACTTTGAAAGAGTCACATATGTTGCAGATGTGTTCATAATGTACATGGATCTGCATAAGCACAGTAAATTCCAATTTGCATGTGCTTAATTAAAAAGGCTTGTTCTAGGCAAGTGTAAAGACCACTGGGGATAAATGTTCCTTTACATGCCAGACAGCCAAGAAGCTGTGAAGCCATTTGGTTGTACTTAAGAAATATATTTAGTAAAATAGTATCTGATTTTAGGGTCAAACCTTATTTTTAAGAAAAAAATTTGGCACTCAAGACAGATTAATTTCAGGTGTATAAGTACTGCTGAAAATGTTTTCTCGTATCTGAAGACAACAAAATTCTGACAACAAAATTAGTCTGGATTCTCTTCTTTCTTAGTTTATAATCAGTTGAATTGTTTACATAAATCTTGTTTTATTTCATACCTACACTAGTCCTTTTCCTTGAATCTTGTCATCTGCCTAACTCCTCTCATTATGTTAGCATTTTTCTTTTCATTATTGTTTTTGATTGATTGCTCCCCGCCCCCCCCTCCCCCCCATAGTTAAAAGCTGTCTTTATCCATCATGCTGACCTCAGTCTCAGCAGGTAATAGCTCTCATTTTAAAGCAGAGACTATGTGTTTGATTTCACTATTTGAATGTCTTCTGGTTCAGGCTTTGAAACCTTCATTTCTTCATTATCTGGTTTTGCTTTTGCCCTCTTCTCTGGATATCAGCAATGCAGTAGGTACAGAGAATACTGAAGATCACCTTAAGCTTCTTCAGCAGTTTCTCTAGCTAAGCAGTCTCCTCTGACACCTTCAGTTGGCATGCTGAAGAATGTGTCCTGACATCAAGTACAAGATGTGGTGGTTATTTTTTTTCTCTAGTCCCCCGAGTACCTTTTATCAAACTCCAGGTCTGCATCTCTTATTTTTCTCCTTCTACTCTCCATGTCTCTCTGTTTTTTTTTTGATTGATTGCTCCCCGCCCCCCCCTCCCCCCCATAGTTAAAAGCTGTCTTTATCCATCATGCTGACCTCAGTCTCAGCAGGTAATAGCTCTCATTTTAAAGCAGAGACTATGTGTTTGATTTCACTATTTGAATGTCTTCTGGTTCAGGCTTTGAAACCTTCATTTCTTCATTATCTGGTTTTGCTTTTGCCCTCTTCTCTGGATATCAGCAATGCAGTAGGTACAGAGAATACTGAAGATCACCTTAAGCTTCTTCAGCAGTTTCTCTAGCTAAGCAGTCTCCTCTGACACCTTCAGTTGGCATGCTGAAGAATGTGTCCTGACATCAAGTACAAGATGTGGTGGTTATTTTTTTTCTCTAGTCCCCCGAGTACCTTTTATCAAACTCCAGGTCTGCATCTCTTATTTTTCTCCTTCTACTCTCCATGTCTCTCTGTTTTTTCTAGTCTTTTTTTTTTTTTTTTTTTTTTTTTTTTATGATGGCATCCACCTGTCTTATTTAGATTCACCTGTCTTATTTAGATTTAGAGTGTGATATAACCCACTGTGCCAAAGTATCCCCAAATGCAATTGTACATCTCAGTTCCATTTGCTGCGGAGTCCAGCTTTCATATGTCACCAGTTTCTGAAGAAGTTTTGTGTTCTTTGGAT